GCTGAAATGGACACTTTACACTTAAGTTTGAATAAAGACTCGAACTATCTCCCCCATTACAAAGAGACCTTCCCCAGTTATCACCTCTAGTATCATTAGCCCCAGACATTTACCTCCCCCCGCATCCCCCTTCTGGTCTGCAATGTGATTTGTCCTTTTCATATGTGTTCGGTTTTTTAATTGTATCCTTTGCTATATATGGCTGTGACAATTTTCTTCCACTATTTGATCTGAGGAAGTGGGTCTGGCCCACGAAAACTCATCATCTAATAAACCATCTTGTTAGTCTTTAAAGTGCTGCATAGTCCTGTGTTTTGTTTCAGCTACACCAGACTAACACGGCTACATTTCTATCACTATTCTGTATTTACATGGACACACCCAGGGTCCCTCCCAGCTCACTGGGAGGGTCAAAGTCCTTTAGCAACTGCCTATGTGTATAAAGAGGGAAGCAGCACTGGCTTCCTGGTGTCTGTAACTGCCCAGGTCTTTCATTAGGTCGCTTGGTGCTTGTCTGGGGGCTTTTCTGGGGCTGTGATTTCTGTGTTGTTGTATATTTTAAATTCCCTCTGGTGCGTATGATTGGCTCCGGGTTGTGCAATTTTTTTTTAAAGCAGCTTGAACAGGCTGCGCTGCTCCCTGTGTTTGGAAACTAAACTAATCTGAAGGGCAGGTACCTGTGTGTGGAGGGGCCATGGCTGCCAGGGACCTGGCCAGGAGCTTCCAGGACGAGGTGACGTGTCCCCTCTGCCTGGAGTATTTCACAGACCCGGTGATCACACACTGTGGGCACAATTTCTGCCGGGCCTGCCTCAGCCGGTGCTGGGGGGAGTCGGAGCCCAACTTCTCCTGCCCCCAGTGCAGAGAGACCATCCTGCAGAGACACCTGCGGCCCAACTACCAGCTGGGGAACCTGGTGGAGCTGGTGAAACACCTGCGGCTCCCGGCGGGGCCAGCGCCCGAGGGGCAGCCAGGGTGCGAGAGGCACCAGGAGTCCCTGAAGCTCTTCTGCCAGGAGGATCAAGCCCCCATCTGTGTGGTGTGCGACAGGTCCCGGGAGCACCGCACACACACGGTGGTGCCTATCGAGGAGGCTGCCCAGGAGTGCAAGGTAGGGACCAGGCTCTGTGGTGTTAAGGTGACATGGGCAGCTCACATCAACCCAGGGCTGTCCCCAAGGGGGCATGGTATCTAGGGCAACCCCCCACCCCCAGCTGCACCCTGCCTCTGCTCCTTCTTCCCCCCCAATTCCAACTCCTGCTCTGCCCCATTGTTCCCTGACATGAATCAGGTGTCACTGGGTGGCCTGATGTGGGGCAACAGCAGGGGTCGGCCCCATTCCCGCACTTACTGTGGTAGTGGGATCTGAAGTGGCCCGGCAGCCTGCTCTGCCCCACCGCCCTCTCCCAGCTAGGGGCACAGAGCACATGGTGCAGCAGAGTTGGAGTGGGGACTTCCTTGGCATCCCAGCTGGAGCAGCCTCTGTCCCTGGTGGGCCCGGGAGCGCAGGGACCGGAGCCAGTAGTGAGGTCCCGCGTAGTCCGGTTAACTGGCGAACCCTTAGTTTAACTGGACGTTTGGCGGGTTAATGGGAATTTTGCAGCCCTCGCTCGGCACGGTGCTGCGCTGGGCGAATGAATCACGGGCTGCCTATGGGGATGAGAACGCCGGGTTACCACAGCCCAGGAGCAGTCACAGTCACACGTGTCTGCTCCTCCAGACCCAGGGCTCCCTTGTCCCATGCCGGTCTCCAGCCACATCACACAGTTAATGAGGCTGCACTGGTATGAGGCCTTTGCTGTGAGGGAGGCCCCCATGGAAGCCTGGGCACACAGGGGAGAGCAGAGAGGGGATCTGGTTCCTGGCTTAGGTCTGAGTCTGGGCCTGGGTCTGGGGCGTGGTGCAGTGATGTTCCTGCCCCAGCTCCTCGCTCTCACGGGTTGGAGGGACCATTCAGGGGCTCCCCAGCCATTTCCCCTCTGGCCCACACGCAGGGACGTGGCACCTGAGCTAACACACGGGGGTGGAGTTGCCCTGAGTGGCTGAGGGAGGCAGAGCCCCTGACGGGGCCGGGCATCTCTGCTCCCATGGTGCCTTTGGGGCTGGCAGAGCCGAGTGGCTGCCTCCTTCCACTTTGGGGGCTGGCAGAGCCGAGCGGCTGCCTCCTTCCAGGCCGGGTCCCTGCATGTGCATGAAAGGCCGGTGTGTACGGCGCTCGCCGCCTGTCGGACAGGCAGATAACGGCTGTTTGTCGCCCACGATGCCCTGCAGGAGAAACTCCAGGGGGCCCTGGGCCTGCTCAGGGAGCAGCTGGAGGAGGCCCAGGTGCTGACATTCCCCAGCAGCGCTCCCAGGGCGAAGGAGCTGAAAGCTCCAGGACGAGGCTATGAAGCTGCTCTGGCAGATCAAAGCTAGCTGGGGCAGTGTCTGCCCATGGTGCCATCGGCACCCCCACTGCAGCCGGGACACCCCCTGAACGACCAGAGCCAGGACGGGTCCCCGCCTGTGCTGCCATCATGTGGCCCCCTCATCCCAGTCACCTGCTGCTGCTCCTGTGACCTTCCCTGGCCTTGTCTCTAGCTGGGGCATGAATGTCCCTTCTGGTTCCCCAGCCTGTTACAGCGAGATCCCTGCTGAGAGTGTAGGGGTGTGAGGAGGACGCTGGCTGGTCACTGGGCACATGGGCATGGGGCACATGGTCAGGCTGGGTGAGGCCAAAGCCAGCCCTGGCAATGCCCTGAGGGCCCAACACCCACATGAGCCCCAGGACGACACCCACAGGGCTATTGGCACCAGCCCTCAATGCTGAACATGCAGCCCTGGGAGCCTGTTGTCAAGAATGAGCATCGCCCACATCTTGCTTCGATGGGTCTGCTTGGTGTGGGAGTGCCCAGCCCTGCACACGCAACTCTCCTTCCCTGCATATGCCTTTTGCTGTACATCTCTTTTGTTCCCTTGATTTCTTCTCTCTCCCATGTCCATCCCATTCCGCCTCCAATAACAGACGGCAGCTTTACCTGGCACCCTAGATAACCCTGCTACGGGACTGGCCCTGTTCACTCTGAGCTAAATCCAGCCCTTTATGGTACAAACAACAAGGAGTCTGGTCTCCTTATGGCATTTGCTGAAGCAGACTGACACAGCTACCTCGCTGAAACCTCCTGGTGTGTTTCCCAAAGAAGTAACTGTCCTTACATCCTCACACAGAGCTGATTCTCCCTGCTTCACAGACAGAGGCCCAGCCTGTAAGGGTATGTCTACACTACCCCGCTAGTTCGAACTAGCGGGGTAATGTATGCATACCGCACTTGCTAATGAAGCCCGGGATTTGAATTTCCCGGGCTTCATTAGCATAAGCGGGGAGCCGCCTTTTTTAAATCCCCTCTGCTTCGAACCCCGTGCAGCGCGGCTACACGGGGCTCGAACTAGGTAGTTCGGACTAGGTTCCTATTCCGAACTACCGTTACTCCTCGTGAAACGAGGTGTACCGGTAGTTCGGAATAGGCACCCTAGTCCGAAC